AAAAAAAAAAAAAAAAAAAAAAAAAAAAAAAACACATCATAGTAAAATTAATACCTTCTCCGCTTCGCATCGAAGCTAAAAACATTATATTTATTTGTTCATTTTTGAAAAAGTTATGGCAGTTTTAAGTACAAAAAACATCCCGATAAAATGTAATTTTTATCGCAAACATTACATTTTTTTTAAAAATTTCGACAGCCATTTGCACATAGAAGATAAGATGTCGGGACAAATTTTTTTTTTTCATTTTGTAGTACATAAAATAAGCTTTAATTTTATATATGTTTAAAGGACGCAGTATTTCCGGAACATTTTCAAAAATTAAGTTGAAAAAGTTATTTTTTGTAAAAAAGTTACTATTTTAAATCCTCCCAGTGAGCAGAATAAGTGTTAGATTTTCAAAAAAAATTATATCAAATGAAAGGGAAATATCTAAGGTTTCAATACAAAAAAATATTATTTTTATTTGTTCATTTTTGAAAAAGTTATGGCAGTTTTAAGTACAAAAAACATCCCGATAAAATGTAATTTTTATCGCAAACATTACATTTTTTTTAGAATTTTCGACAGCCATTTGCACATAGAAGATAAGATGTCGGGACAAATTTTTTTTTTTCATTTGATAGTATATAACATAAGCTTTGATTTGATATATGTTTAAAGGGCGCAGTATTTCCGGAACATTTTCAAAAGTTCAGTTGAAAAAGATCTATGTTTTTACAATATTTTAAGTTTTGAACGCCTCCTATATAAGGGGAAATTGTACTTAAATATACTTCAATTTTCTGTGTGAAATCGTAAATTTGTTGAGCCACTTCTTGCATTTGTTGAAAGTTCATTAAGTGAAGCCGAATCGACAGTTTTTATGCCTTTTTATATTAAATTTAATTCATCTATATGAACCAAAAGTGTCATGATCTTTTACTATTATCTGTTTATTACTTAATTGTGTTAGATATTTTGTATTATTTTACTTAAAATAAATGATTTGTCACAACTAAAGAATTTCTTATAGTAATCACATAAGATTTGTATAAAGGCATTTTTATACATATTTCTCGGAATAGCTTAAAAAAAGATTAAAATGATTGACATGAATAATATATATTGGATTTGATGACTAATAGACAATAATTTATAGACTACTGAATAATGAATTAGTGTTGTATGTATTATAACAATGAGTATATCTTGTTTATTAGAAAAGAGCTCATATTCCAACTCAACATCGTTCGGACTGTATTGTTCAGTGTAAAAAACTAAATGAAGATTTACGAAGATTAGAAAAATTAATGAAAATTTATCTCGTACATCAAATTACTTTTGTTGCTCGTGTTAGGGTTAATCAATCGCGATCAAATTTTTTACATCTTAGATGTACCAAAATAAATTTGAAGTATATAGAAAATAAATAAGTATTTATTTATATATATCTATATTATAGATTCATAATATCATACATCATCTATCATTCGATCTTTCGTATACGCTGTCATGTATTATTATTTAATTTAATTATTAATAAATCTTGTTATTCGGTTTCGTAACAATTAAATTAGTATGAACCTTGGTTGTTTCTCTAAAGCGATATACACTAATTAGAAACCCTCAGTACTTAATGTAAATAGAGTCTAGTCAGCCATCATGTTGTGGGTCTAAAGGATTACTATTGAAGGGTATTTGAGGGTTGTACCCAAATAGTGGAGTATCATTACCAATTATAGTTAGCAAATTTTAATATAATTTGACCCATATTATCAACAAAAATACAAACAAAATTGAGCACACCTATAGCAAAATAATTATTATATAATTCTGAGTTTAAATGATATCGTTTGATTAATTTATCTTACTATTAAAAATTGTATACTGGCTCCCTCAGTCATAATGAGGTTGCGTCAAATTGAAAGGCGGTATAGAACTTGTCAAATCGTGACGTAAAGCCGACCTCAAATAGCTGGGATGAGACTAAGAAGATGATGATGGCTAATAAAAATTGTTTAGGTTTCTATGATAGGATATGGACAGAGAAACATTTATGTTGGCGATTATGCCGTGGAAAATCGAGGAGTACTAAATGTAAGCAATCCCATGCAAAATGGTATAATTACCGACTGGGAAGCTATGGAACAAATGTACTATCATATGTATTACGAAAATTTAACCGTTCCTCCAGAGAGCTACAACATTATTCACACTGAAGCACCTTTAAATCCAAAAGGTTGTCGTGAAAAATTAGCAGAGGTAAAAAACAATTTTATATTCTATAATACCATCTTTTTTTATATTCTAATTTCGTTAAGTCCTTAAACAAGTATGAGGCGATAATAGTCATCGCGTAATATAAATATCTTAACAAGAATAAATACAACATGAATAATGAAAATTGAAATATAGAAATTCGTTGGTTATCTTTTTAAATTTTATATAGTGTTTATTAACACTATTATATGTTTATTAACATAGGAACCTATTTCCTTACTTACTGGACACCCTATGTATAGTTTAGTCATTAATTCATAAACCTTCCATAAAATATCGTTCTTGGTAGATGATGTTTGAGCTTTTTAATGTACCAGGAATGTTCACGGTACCATCGGCTACGGCAGCATTATTTGGTAATGGAAAGACTACAGGTATTGTGGTGGACTCAGGATATGAATGTACCCGCGCAGTACCTATATACGAGGGATACATTTTGCCGCATGCAGTACGAACCTTACCAGTAGGGGGCAAACAGGTGACTGAGTACTTGGCATCATTAATGAACGCTCGCGGTTTCAGCCTAACCACTCCCAAAGATATTGATATCACTAATGCCATTAAAGAAAAGTTGTGTTATTGTGTTGCTAACCCGTCTAAAGAACACATTCCATACCACATAAACCATCCCGACTATGAACAAAGCTTTATACTACCCGATGGTCAAACATTTACAATATATAGTGAAGCGTAAGTAGTTAAGGTATAAATTAACAATTTAAGGTATTTTTTGTAGTTGAACTGGTGTATTATTATAAGATTATTTCAGATATTGATGTGGTAAAATATGTACCATGCACTTTATTTAAAAGAAATATTGGAACAATTTTCAGGTTTAGAGCGACTGAAATATTGTTTGATCCAAACGTGTTTAAAATAACTTCTAAGATAGAAGGTGTACATAAAATGATACACGAATCAATTGGTGTTTGTGATATTCGGTTACAAAATGACATGTACCAAAACGTTATATTAGCTGGAGGTAACACACTATTTCCATCTATTCAAAAGCGTATGGAGAGGATGCTAGCGAAATTAGCCCTGTCAACGACTAAAATTCGAATTATCATAACACCCGAACGTAAATTTTCAGCTTGGATTGGTGGCTCCATTGTCGCTACGCTATCGACTTTTCAACACATGTGGGTAAATCGAGCCGAATACGAAGAACACGGTCCAAAAAGTGTTCATCATAAATGTTTTTGAAAACTTAGAAGGTCATTGTCTTTTTTTCTTGTAGTTTTTGAAAGTAATAACACTAAGTTTATAAAAGCAACTAATTTTACTTCTTTATGATTCTACCAGATTATTTGAATATTTATATTCTTTAAGAAAATAACTATGGTATGTACTTAGCTACATAATTTTATATGTTGTTTAATTGTTTACATTTTAAATTGAAAAGATATTCAATGTTCTATAGTGTATTACATTGATTTATGCATTCAAATATTACGCATGTCTATGGCTTCATAAATGTTATACATTTCTGTTTCTTGTTTTAGCTTCGATGCGAAGCTAAGAAGGTATTGGTTTTACTATGATGTGTTTTTTTTTTTTTTTTTTT